ATCTGTTAGCATTTCACTGGCCACAGTCAGCGTAACTGCAATAGCACCATCTGGAAAATACAGGGCGACAAGTTATAAACCTGGTTTTTAATGTGAACTGGTATTGAATGGTACCCTTTGCTAAGCCCAGGGAGCAACTCCAGGAGGGTCTGCTAATTCAACACCACTGTCGACCTTCTGCATCCACCCTGGAGGAGGGGAAAAGGCTGACAAACCCTCTCTGTGCTGCTTTTGTTTTATTGTATTAGGAGCATAAAGGCACTTTCAGGGCCCATCTTTCTTCAGCAGAAAGGGAAAGCAAAGGGGAAACTGGGAAGAGGAGGACATGGCAAAAGAAGACAGGCGGAGCTCTAGCTCCATTTGTTTTCAGTGGCTGTTGATTAATAGGTTTTAAGGTGAATGGCCAGCTCTCATTCCTCCTCCATTACTAGTAGTGGAGGAAGGGGAGGGGACTCAGGGTTCCAGAGTGCAGGGGCCTGATCAGTCCCTCCCATGCTGCATTCCCCATCCCATGCCATGGTCCTGCTTGGGGGTAAGCGGGGGGTGCCCACTGGACAGCCTAACAAACAGAACTTAAGGACACTTAAAAAAGGCCACCCAGGTTGGGGAAGGGGGTCCCTTCCTGGCTGTACCCACAGCGTTGCTGGGGCAGGAGCATCCCCTGTCCTGCCTTTGGCTGCTGGGCCAGAGATCCATTGGAGCAGAGTCTCCTGCAGCCCAAGGCCGCTACGATGCTGCAATGGCATGATGGTTTCCTTTCAGCCTGGGTGGCGTTATTGCAGACCTGCTTTTACTAAACACATTACTCCAGCGAAGACAAATCCTCTGGCCTCTCTGGCATGTCTTTCTCTGATTTTGATACCTTATTTTTAATACCTAAGCCAAACAAGCTGCGGATTTGCAAACAGAAATTGCAGTAACAACTCTTCCTATTTAAAGCTTGGTTTCTCTTTGTGTGTGCACAGTACAGTGTTTCATCTCGTACAAGTCTTATGTTGCTTCCAGAGACTTAGGAACTATTGATTTATACAGTATGTATTAACTTCTTCAGTAAATGGGGAGTATTCATCAGTGGGGTGTATTAAATTGGGCTGTACACACACAGAAGTATCTTTCATCCTGTTAATGAAATGTCCTTACTATGCAACAAAGACTAATACACAGCAATTTATACACACAGTCCCCTGCAGTTTAAATCTGAAGATCAGGTAGGTCTTTTTGTTCCCTAAAGGCACTTATCAGAACTTGGGCTAACTGGATCTCAGTATCCCTCTCAAAAATATATCAATCCAGCATTTGTTGTGGGTTTGGTGGTGTTCGGGGTTTTTTTTCGTCTTCATTCCAGGGCTCCATTATTGTTTAAAGTCATCTGTGTTAAAGCACTCCCAGAAGCATTTCAAATTCATATAGAGAGATTTAGTAGTTGAGTCCCTATGGGGACAATTTCCTCTGGTTTGCTTCAGGCAGCGGTTATCAAGAAAAGCAAACTTCTGTTGTTTTCTTGCAGTTCTTTACTGTGCCCTCTAACCCAGCATATGAGACCCCAGCTTTCAGTGGAGAGGAATGATTTATCAGCAGATGACTTGGTACTTTGTAGGTGCTGGGATTTCTCTCCAGAAATCTCCACTTGTTCCCATCCTCTTACCACATGCCCTGATGCTAATCTGTGCGTTCCATTGCAGCTCCCATTTCCGTGCCTGACGTAGCCATAAATGGAGTTCTTCAAGTTGCCAGAGAAATTCCTTCATCTCACAATGGCTTTTAGCTTAAAACTACCCTTGATAAAGTACTCGCAAAATGTATGTTGGGGAAGGGCCTTGTGCAGGGGGAAGGCTGAGGTCACCTAATAGGTGTTCCCTATTGATAGCTTCTGTGGTTTACCTTTCATTGCCAGTGGATGGGGTTAGGACCACACTTGTTACTCAGGCAAAGCTCTTATTGGCTTCAAAGGAAGATGCATGTGCAGGATTAATCCTGCTCTTTCCCAGCTCTTCCTTTCTTTTCCTCTTTTCCAAGGAAGCTTAGTTAACTTCAGGAATGCTGTTTTTAAAGACCAGCTTATTTAGCATATTACGCATGATTAGCTTGGCTTGCAAATTGTATGTGCTATTAAAAGCAGTGTTACGGTCCCTTTTCCCAGTGTGTGATAAACTGCAAAACACAATACAAACCTAGACCTGGATAGTGATTTGCAGGGACAGTGGTTCACACTCCTCTGTCCCAGAGAGCGTATATTTGAGCATTTCCCCTTTTCCCCTGGTACTTTCTCCCCACGCCTCTGCTGCAGCATCATCACAGTGGCTAAAAAAGTATCCTACCCTCACATCCAGTACCTTTATATGAATTGTTTGATTGCAGGGCAGTCACCCAAATAAAAATGACTTACCTGGGGAAACGTTTGCAGGCATAAGGCTCAAACTCTTGGTTGTTGGTGAGGTTTTTTTTCCCCCTTTGCTTTTTATTTTTCTCTGAAAAGGTTAAGTAAAATACAGAATAATTTTGCACCATTTTCTGGAGATATTGTGGGGGTCTTGGTATTTCCAAGCAGTGGGTGGTAATTTCCTACAGTCTACATGTAGCCCCCTGTGGTATATCTGGCTTTAGTGATACAGGCATGTAAGTCCAGCTTTCTTCTCCTGTTGTTTCTTGTTTGTCGGTTTAAGTGTGACCCTTTAATGTTATTCTGTCACTCACTTATTTAACTAACCAGGTCCAGTTTCTATGAAAATAAGCCCTCTGTGGAAGACAGCCCTCAGTGTCTGTCAGGATGTGGGCGAGGAGTTTTGCAGTGATGGGAAGGTAGACCTGGGAGAGCACAGGGCTATAGCAGCTACCAGCCACACTGTAGGTTACCTGACAACAAGAGCTCACACAATTCTAGGCCAGCAAAAATCCCTCCTATTGGGAATTATTGGGTTTTTTTTTGTGAACCAGGTCAACTGGCCATTTTGCTTGTAAAGTCATGTGTTGTTGAGTAGCTGCCTGCTAGTTTGCATGGGGTGTACTGCAGTTTGTTACGTGAAGCCCTTGCCAAACCTTTCAGTTACTTTTGGACTGCTTTGGTTGGTTCACTTGGAAAAGAAGAGATTTGGGGTTAGAGCGTCTCCTTTGTCTTTTTGAGTTAAGGAGCTAAGTCCCCATAGCTCCTCTGATATGAAACCATTATGGATCTGTGCGGCCAAAAGTTGTCCTTGGTTGAACAGCTGTCAGAAGACCTGACATACAACCTCAGCAACACAACATGCTGTAATTCATAGGGCTGGCTTTCGCAACCACGCTGTGTCCTGCTTGGTGGCCACTTGATGTGGGACTCTCCTGTGCCATGTGTGTGGTGTTAGAGGGAAATCGTTCCATGTAAGGGGCTGTAAAAAGGGATGAACATGGTAAAAGTTGTGGGAAGCATAAGCACCGCTCTTCAGCTTGCTTCTTTTGGATGCACACTGTTTGCAGATTTTCAAAGGGGTGAGTCAAATAGCTACATACAGCTGGGGCTGGGGGAGCCTTCTGGGGTGGAGGAGGCTGCAAGAGCTGAAGGTGAAGCTTTGCTTGACCAAAGCACCATGGAGGGGCTTCCTGTTTATTCAGAGAAGACTGATGTTTCTTTTCCTCCTAGCTCTCAGTCCATCTCCCCTCTTCCTTCCTCCCCAGTCTTAGAAACTCATTCCTGGAGAATAACTGAATTACTTCTGAAATGCTTTTAAGGGAAGCTTAGGGCGTTCAGACTGAGATCAGATCGTAACTTGTGTAAAGGAGCATGGCAAGGGTGCATGTTTGGGGGTGCTGGGGAGTGAGTGGTGGGGTCAGAGCTGTCCTTGGGCAGGAGGGTGAGCAGGAGGGCGCTGGCAGACCTTGAGCGGCAGCGGCGCTATCGGGGGCCACCGTCGTATCACTACTTCATTTTAATGTGATTCCTTTTACTTGATGTTAATGCAAGTTGTTCCTTACTTAAAGTAATAAAAGGAAATGAAGACACATTCTAAAATGAAACCTGACTCTAATCCATTCATCATCTAATACCAGCCTCTTTATCTTTGCTGGTACCTAATCTGGTTAAATGTCCCTGTTGTAGGATTTTAGTGAAAATCCTCTATGGGGAATAGGGTTTTTTGCAATTGGATTACTCGCAGTAAATGGTCCAGCAGTTCGCTTGTTTCAGCTTAATTTTTTCTTTGTGATCTTGTAAGGGTAAGTTACAGTTCAGCCTGCCTTTTCCTTTCATTCATTCACTCCTTTCTTTTTTTTATTTCTTTAAGAAAAAGAATTCCTCTCCCCCACAAACTAGGAATGTGACAGAGAAAACCTCATGATATCTGTGTGGTTATTCACCCCACCAGAATGTTAATTTCAATGGCTTTATCTGTAGTTTTGCCATTATTTATATAGCTGAATATTTCAGTAGCCTAATTCATCAGTATCCAGCTTCCATTTATTAGCATTGTCTGATGAATTGATAATTAATCAGCTCTTCTAATATGTATATATATAAAAAATGCAGGTGATCGCTCATCAGCCAAATGCTTGCTGATAAAGGGAATAGTCTTGCACTACAAACGCTTTTTATCTGGAGTATTTGCAATGAGCAGTAAAATGCAGAACTGAAAGTGAGGACAGGAAGGGGAAGGGGAAAGACCTGCAGGTCAGTGAGCGTTTGGGTCTTGTGCTAATTAAGTGGGGGGCTCTGTCAGCCCCTCACTGAGGAGTCTGCCTGCGTGGAGGTGAAGCACAAGACTGCAAAATTAAAAGGAGAAATTCGGAAGAATTGCTGTTGCTCCATACGGGAGCACGACGGGTCAAAAACATTAAGGAAACTCAAGAGTAGGGAAAAGCGTGTGAGGAGGTTTTAAGCAAGAGGGTGGGAAAACTGCAGGGGTGACACCGAGAAGGCATCTGGAAAAGTTGTGTTGAAATCTTGGATACTCAGATTTGTGTATGTCTTGCCTTGTGCTGCAGTGGGAGTACCCAGCGCTCCTCTAATGCCATCGACCTTTTTCTCTTGACAGTCTAACAAAGTGCCAGTTGTGCAGCACCCGCACCATGTACACCCTCTTACGCCGCTTATCACGTACAGCAATGAGCACTTCACACCGGGAAACCCTCCTCCACACTTACCAGCCGACGTAGATCCCAAAACAGGTAGGTGGGAAATAGTTTAGGGATTTTTTGGGAGTGCGCAGGTGGATCTTTCCATTTTTCATGTTAGAGGGAAGGAGTGCGGGGGGAAGGATTTTGCATGCTGGAGCACCAGAGGGGGCATGTAAAATGTCAAGCACATGCAAGAACCCAGACAAAATAGTTTCTTTTTAAGCCAATTAGGCTTCAGAAGGAAACCTACTGGGTGAATGTTCTTAAAGCTTCTACAGGGTGACAGCAGAGTTGCATGTGTGGGGTCATTTGTGAATGTGTTTCTTTGCAAGCATGATACCCCACTTGGTAGTTCAATCTACTGGGTGCTTGGTTTGCATGCATGACCCATAGTATTAAACATGTACATTCTGTGATCTGCACTTACAAAATTGCAGCTGGAATTTTAAAGGTGGTGGATCATGACCAGTTTCAACATGAATCTCTTTTACTTCCCCAAATCCCATTGTTTCTGTGTCAGGAGTTCAGCCATTTGTCTCCTATAATGTTGAATTTTCATCCACTCGAGCTACTTAACTCCAGCTCTACTCTTGCAACTCTTTTTCCCCAGTGTAAGTCTGCCTAAGTCTCAGTTCAGCCTGAAGGGCAGCCTTCTTGAATACAGAGCACCGTGTAAAACCCTGACTAGATTTATTGGTGTTACAGAGTAGAATTTACATGTTATTCTAACTTTCTAAGACTCCCTGTTTAACCTGAGGGTCCAGAGAAGTCAGCGTCAGTATTTCTTCGGGCTGCGTTGAATTCCTAGTGACAGTGGTTTTGTTTTTGTTAATCCGAATCCCAACTAGTTAATAGGAAAGTACATCAGAAACTGAATTTTTGACAAAGCATTCAGTCTGTGTCAGCCCCAGTGTGTGCAGATAATTTGTCTAAACTCCAGCCCGTGAATGAGGCGGTGCATTAACTGGTTTTCACTCCCTACGCTTCAACTGGGGCCCCCTTCTAATTGTGCTTAATGCTAACTTCGCATGGCTTTAAAAGGAATCCATCTTGCTATCCCTGGGTATTGCAAGTGAATGGCATAGTCAACTTCTCATTTAAATAATGGTAGTACAGGGAATAGCTTTTAAATGGTTATCGTAAAACATATGATTAACGTCTGTAGACTGTTTACTTTTCTTCTGTGAACAGTCTTTCAAGTGTGCAAATAGCTCGCCGGATGGTTAAAGCCCAGTTAATCTGTTTGGGTTTTGTAATGGAGAAAAAGCAATGTCTGCATGAAAATGTCACACAAGGAGATTTAATTTAGAGATTAAAAGCTTCCCAAGTGACTGAAAAAAATAGTTTTTAGCCATGAATACAGTACCCTTCCTTCTAATGCTCTCTGTTTTAATTTGGCTTCTGCTGGGTAATTGTGCTCTGGCTTGTTAATTGAAAGGCCCAGTCTTGTAACCCATACTCCTCTGAGCAGTTCCTACTTGCTCTTAAGGCTTGTGTCTGGAGCTGGTTTCTACTCTCTCAGTAAGAACTTCAGTGAGGATGGATGGGCTCTCTGTCCTCCCCTGCACACCTTCAGCATCTGGCCCATGTTTTATCAAGTATTTCCAGGGGCTTAGGTTTTGGCAAAGGTTGCCTAGGTCTGCTCAAAAGCAAACATCATTTGCCATTATAATGACTTTGTAACTCGTTTTCGCGGTTACTTTGGAATAATGCCCATGCTCTTGAGCACTCAGTCAACATATGGGCAGGGCTTGTGCTCTATTGCTGACTTTGAGTCTAAAGTAATCATGAAGTTAATACAGGAACCATCTTTCTGGTGAGTGTTTAAGACAGTACCTAGCACAGTGTCACACCAAAACCATAGCTGAAACGCCTAAATTCTCATCCTAAATAACAAAGTAATTAATTGGAGACGTGACTGAGGAAGTGAATAAGATCAGTTTTTCTGGTTGAATCTCATTGAACAAGATACCAGAAGGCTCACTTTATGAAATAAGACTGTGAAACAGCCTTTGGAAACCTGAAATGAAGCCATAAGTATTATAATAAGAATGAATAGATAGCAATTTAGAAACATATTTGACTTTTCCTTATTTTATTTATTTCCACGTCTCAGTACTAACACTGCTTGATGTTTCTTTTCCATAGGAATTCCAAGGCCTCCACATCCTCCAGATATATCTCCTTATTATCCGTTATCACCGGGCACTGTAGGACAAATCCCCCATCCGCTAGGATGGTTAGTACCACAGTAAGGAGTTCCATTTTTTTTCATTCCCTTTTTCTTTTTTGATGTGTAAAATTTATGTTACAGATCGCTTACGTGCATGTGTGTGTGTGTGCATTGAGATAAATCTGTTTGCCAGCTGCCACTTCACTGAGTGGTTATGAATTTACCCACCTCATGAAGATTAATTATAACGTATGCCAGGTCATGTAGTCTTAAGCAAACAGGACCAGTTGGACACAGGTTTGCAATGTCATCTCTGCCAGCTGATGGCTCATGAAGCATGCGTTCTCAAACCCTCCTGCAGAAACATCCATGTCTTGTTAATGCCCTTACACTGCACCATGTGGGATTTTCTCAGGTTTAGCTTTCAGGGTGGTTCTCATGGATTCCCACTATAAATGTTCAAGTTTAAATTTCATTTGCCTTCCCCCCTGAAGTCCCTCTAGTTTTCCTTGTGAAACAGTAGAGCTTTACATCGGCCAATGAGCAGCATTCCTAGTGGAGACGTGGCTGTGTAGTTGGCATCTGAGGAATGGAATTTTCTTGCAAACAAGAAAGAGGAATTAGTTTACTCTAAAACTGGCTAAGAAAAAAGCTGTGGAAAGTTAGTTTGGGGTTTTGTTTTCTTTTCAGCTCCTCATATCCCACTTGCAGAGCCTTCTTGGGTATGAGGTTCCCTCCACTAATTGAGTCCTTATTTTCTTTATTTCCTTAAGTTGCCATCTCTACAATGGGTTTCTAATGCACTTAAACACTGCCTAGGCCTTTTGTGCAGTATATTTGATTTAAATACTTATAAAACACATTTGTATTGCATTATAAATCAAGACTATTACGTTATTTTTCTCACATAACAGGCCTCATCAGTTCTGGGGAGATCATATTTCTTCAGAAATAAATTGCCCCAAGCTAGAAATAGTTTGTTCCTTCTCGAGGTTGTTTGGCCAGCTGTGCTAAAATCCCTGTTTCTCCTCCATAAGGAAGTGGAGCTCACACCGTGTAGGAGAGCAGGGCAGAGCAGGGGCTACCCACACACCCTCACATCTCAGGGAAGGAGGAGGACTGGTATCAAAGGCTTTGGGGGCCTTTCTTCAAGCACAGATGTGTGGATACAGGAGAGCTGGAGATCAGACCTTGGCCACGGCATCCCACTTCTGGCCACTTTGCAGGCTGCCCTCCTTCACATAGGGTAGTCTTGCAACTAGCTTAGGTAGAGGCTCTCCCACGCTGAGGATGAAGCATGTCCATTGGCTCTCTGCAGAAGGCTGTTTCTCCAGAAGAGCACAGCATGAGCAGAAGAAAAAGACCCATAGTATTGCTTCCTGAAATCTTAAAATCCTCCTCATTTGTGGTGATTTACTATTTACATAGGACACCCTGAACACTTGTAGAATGTGTGCCAGCTCCTTTTCTTCTTCTTTCTTGCTTGCAGGGCCTAGCTGCAGTACAGTCATCTCATGTTCCTCTGGTGAAACTGCTTAGCTCAGGTTTGCACAGTAGCAGGCTCAGCGTTTAAAGCAGACATACCCAGCTAGTGCCAAATGTTAGCGATATTAAAGACGTGGGAGTGCAGGGAAGAAATTTCTTGTTGTTGACCTGTGTCTCATTGCTCACCTCTGTCTCAGAGCCTTACGTGTTTATGTGTGAAGACACAGGTTTGTCCTCCTCAAACCTCATGTCAGGGCTGGCAGACCACATAAATGTTGCTCACGTGTGGCCAGTTTCACCAGGCAAGTGTTAGTGGCCACCTCTGTCACAGGAAGACTGTCATCACCACTGATGTATAACAAGTCACCACCCATGGTGTGATTGTCTACCCACAGCTCTTACAGCTTCTCCAAGTAGTTTTTGTTGAGAGGTGGTACCATCATATTTGCTTTTGCTGAATGAATGTGGCACGGCCAACTTTGCAGAAGTAATCCAAGGCTCTCATTTTGCCACTTGTGCTGCACCATCAGCTTCCCAACCCATCTGTCCTCAACTGGCCCGCATGTCTCCTGCATAGGAGCCCCCAAGAAAGCACCCTGCCCCGTCAGATGATGTATTTGAAGGACAGATGAAAAGAACTAGCCAGCACAGACAAACCTCAATCAGAAAAAGTTGTGTGTCTTTCATGAGGATGCTGTTTTGCATGTTGCTGTATTTTTTAATTATTGTAATGAGGTGTGATTGTCTATTGGTTACCCACAATACTTCTTGGGGACTCTCCCCCGGTAACTCTTGTCAACACTTGTTAATCTGACAAAAGGCTACAAATTAAGCTCTGTTAATTTAATGTTTTCTCACCGAGATCTAAATACCGAAAGAGGCCCAAAGCGCAACTGAAGTCCTTTGATTCACTGTACTTTATTTTGGTATAAATTTACATTCATTATTGTTTTCCTTTGGATGTGTAGCCCTCAATTAGTGTGATGGCTCCATTAAAGCAAGCGAGACTTCGCCTTTAATTATTACAACAAAACACCTAGTTTCAGCTTGGGGAGAGGGTCTCTATTGACATAAGCAGAGGTTATAAAATTTAATTAGCCATTCCTATCAGATTTATGGCATTCAAATTGTTCTGTGTTTCTTTCCTTTGATCCTTGCTGTACAATCCCCAAGATTTTTGTTCTGATCAAATGAGAATAAAGCTTACTGTGCGCAGAGAAGTTTTTTGTTGTGTGGTTGTTTTTTTTTTTAAAAAAAATTTAAAAAAAACCCACCTTTTCTTCTTTCTCTCATTCTCTTTCCCTTCCTTTTTGCCAGGCAAGGTCAGCCAGTGTACCCAATCACGACGGGGGGTTTCCGCCACCCTTACCCAACAGCTCTGACCGTCAATGCTTCCATGTCAAGGTGAGTTCAAATACTGAGGTCCTGAATCGAGAGCAACTGTAACTCCTCCTGCCGCCCTCTCTAGAGGAGGGCATTTCGTCTAGGAAGTGTGTTTCTGAAAGCACTTCAGTTAAACAGTCATCCTTAGTTCTTTGGTGGGGTGGAGAAGAAGAGGATGAGGGGAACCTTCCCGTTAGAGGAGAAGAGGGTGTCCTAGTGCTGTCATTGGGCTTTAACAGCTTGTTTTTGAGGGAGAGGTGGCGGGCTGGAAGCTGTCTTTAAAGCCAAACCAGGTGAAAAAGCAGGGAGAATGAGATGTTGACAAAGCAGGAGGGGAAGTTGTGATACCTTTTGCTTTCTCAGTGGCTATCACCCAGAGCCATGCTCTGTGTGCAAGAGAGGAGTCTCTGGAGGCAGGAGGGCTGCTCTTCAAGCAGAGTTGGGAGGAAGGTTATTGCGCTATGTTTTCCCCCTGCCAAAGCTGCAAACACTGATAGTCAACATAAAAGGGCCTGCCTGACCCTCTAAAGCTTTAGAAGTATATATTTCTCCCCCTCCCTACCTCCAATTAATTCCATCTAATTTTCCAGGGGCTGCTAGTTTTATTTACAAACTGGTTGGCAGCACTATGTTTAAGTAATCACTAATTGCTCCTAATGATAGTTTTATTCTCTGTTCATCTGATTTTCAGCCTGGTTAATTAAATCGGTGGAATTTTAGACTTTCCTGATGGGCTGAAACAGCTAATCCATTTTGATGATGGCACATAATTAAATTAGCATGCATTACATAGCAAGGTTCCATGTCTCTTCCCTGCTCTGTCCCTTCCTCTCCATCTCTGCAGTTTAATATGTGGTGGTTGGTGTATAGAAGATTTAAGGAGGAGAAGATTGGGGGGGGCGGTTGAGGAGAAACACACCTCATTGAGAAATGGAAACCTGTAACTAGAGCTCCTGAGTGAATAGGGAGGGAAATAGGGTGTTGTGTGCTTTAGATAAGTAGAGTAAAAGAAAAAGGTTAAAATTTTACCGTGTTGTTTCAGCAAATAGACAACTGGAAAATCAACTTAAAATTAGTAGACCCAGCATGGGGGAGAAAAAATCCGGGGTTGGGGAGAGAGCTGCAAATTTAAACAATAGTCCCCTCCCTCCACTGAATCTTTTTTAATATCTATAAAAGACTGGCTGGCATGGTGTGAGGCAAAGTAGAGCTTGATTTAGTTTAATTATTATTAGAGAGGCTAGTCATTTGAGGGAGGGGGGAGATGTGGGAGGGGGAAGGCTATATTCCCTAGATAGGCTTTATGAAAGGTATCTAGTTAAAAAGAGTACACAGCAAATTAAATACATTATTGTGGTAATGGGACGACAGAAGTAGAGGTCTATTATACTTATGGCAGTTATAGGAAATGTAGGCTCCTTGCCCTGTTCTAGCACAGCCTTTGATATTCATTCCATTCAGCAGCAGGGCCAGGACTTCTCAGAATTAAGTGATGGGTCATTATACTTTAAACACCATGGAGAAGCCTAGATTGGCAATTAAACAGCACTTGCTGACACTCGCTTGTGCCACCCTGTGACCCCCTTTAGATTGAGTTGTTGGAGCTCGGGGCCCTCAGCCTGCTAAATTGGTAGCAGGCACTTCTCCTGACGAGGGCTGGCTCTGAAATCTGCCGGCTTCAAAGGGAGCAAGATCATGTATAAACCATAATGTGGGTGCACCGTGGCTCAAAAAATAAGGCAGGAATAGATGAAATGTTACAAGTGCAAGGGGAAAATGAGAGAATAATGACAAATCTAATGCAACTCAAAGCAGAATTGTTGCACAGAAAAATGCATCCCACTGCTTGTGCATAAAATCAAGGCAGGCAGATGACATCCAGTTAACAGAAACATGTCAACAGTGAAGTAAAGTGAGAGTGAGTAAGAGAGAAGCCCCTGAGACAGCCAGGAACAAAAAATTAGTTGTCCTTAACAAGTTAAGACTCATCATTATATTCTGGCTTGGAGCCATAAAAGGAGACAGTGGAGTATAATGAGCTGCTTAGAATTTTTAGGGTGTTTATTGCAATTCATGGAATACCAGTCTAGAGAAAAAAAATACGTGGGGATGTCTTAGGCAAAAGTGAGGGGTGTACATATACACACACAGCCTTTGTTTTTGTCTCTGACATAAGCCCATACGTGCACACATGCTCAGGCGCACACGCAGAGCGATGAATAGATTTAAGATGGTTATCCTTTGTTTCAGCCCAGAAACTTCTCTCCTGGTTTCCCATACATGGGAACACCCTCTGGGCAGACCGTGCTCTGATACATGGCTTGATGCATGTTTTCTCATGCCTTCCATATCAGCTGGAGTGCCTGAGCTCAGCCATGGGACAGCCCTTGCCCCCAGTAGCCAGTGTAGTTGGGAGATGGGGCTGGCGTGCCCAGGGATGCCCGTGCTTGCCTGCAGACATGCCCTTCATGGCTGGCCTCTGGCCCCTGCAGGGCTCCAGTACAAGCCTTGAGGTTGCCGTGTTGGCTCTGCCCAGACACTGAAGCCAGAGAATCCACCTTTTTCCAGAGCATTCCTTTAAAAGCAGTTCCTGTCTTTTCCTGCTTTATGGTATAGACCTTTGGAGCATGTAACGCTTCCCAGCCCTGAATGTTCCCTAAGCTTAGTAATTACAGTTCATTAGTTAGAGTGTGCTTATGAATAGTTTATAGAAGGTTAATGGGTGACTAATAGTGATTTTCATAAATGGTTTAGACTATTAAGGTAGTGTCTTCAGGTTGTTTTAACCATTTACAGCTCTTTTCTCTGCTGGTAGCATTGCCACTTACTTTGTATGCGTGTGACATGCTTAAAACATCTCTTGATCCTTCATTACCACTCTATAATATGCCCTTAGTGTAAATTGAGACAGGGTTAACTGACTGATGGGCAAACAGTGGACCCACTATGAAAAAACAACTGCTGTGAGAGGAAATCAGGAAATAATTTAGCAGAATTGCACCAAACACTGCACAGCAGTTAAGTGGTGGCAGTGGAAAATACCTTCTGTAATTGAAATTTCAGGGGAAATTCACTTTTGCTGAATGTAATTACTGAAGTTGGAGTGCAGCCAGGAACTTAAAAATTAACACTCTTCCCCCACTTGTACTGCTGTGTGAGTGGGTGTCTTGTGGAAATAAGTAGGTATTCAGAGTTCAGGCTGAGCCGTCATCCAGCCTGCTGAAGTCCATGGGACTGTGAGAGCAACGCTGGGTTCTGGAGCATGCTTTTAAAGTCCCAAACGTACGAAGGGCTGTGTAAGTCCAATAGGCAGCCTTGGAGGGAGAGAGATTTATTGTGAAGTAATGAATGGTTATTGGTAATGGACATACAACTTCCTTGGGGGAACTGCCACCCCGAAAATAACCACTGAGCTGCAGTTGCCTGTTGATGAAGGCTGCCATGTCTGTGAAATGTAGAGCTTGGAGGGTAAAATCCCAGCCCAGGTGAAGTCAGTGGAGGCTTCTCCATCCTCCAGGCTTTGACACAACGCGTACACATGGAGGAGGCTTCTCTTTCTCCACTGCCCTTCCTCCCCGTCTGCTCACTCTCTAATGTGCAAGTATTTACTTTCTTTCTCCTAGATGGTAATTGGGAAAAAGGCTTTTTCCCCATAACTAGGGAAGGTCAGAAACTTAGCAGACACCATCTTTTGTCCTCATTAACTCCAGCTGTAATCAGTCTTTTGTGAGCCCTTCTGCAGTGATGAGTCTGGTCTTACTCAGGTCCATTCTCACACCCTTTCTGTCCTTGTGCTGCCACCGCTCTCAGCTCTTCTTCTTTGCTTGTATGTGCCCACTGCCCTTCGCACTGTGTCCTAATGCCAAACAAAAGCAGCTCTTCCTTCCTCCTCTCTGAAGGTAGGCTTTTCATCTCCATCTTCATCCTTCAGTATGTCGTCACTGGCTCTCATTCGAGTTTGAACCCTAGACAGCCCCAGCAACTAGTCCTCTCTTGATCGCTGTGTCTTGCCAAGGGTAGACAGTCATTTGATAGGATATGTGTCAACTTGTTATCACTGTACTTATGCTACTTTAGGTTTATTTTTGCCCGTGTTTATAAGTTGTTTCATTTCTAAAAAGCTCTTACTATCAGTTTTTGTTTGCGTTGTACTGTGGCTGAAGGCCCCATGCACTATGTGAACAAACTTTCAAGTATGTTCAATCCAAATATATACACACAAAAATAAAGACAAGAACAGAAAGAAACCGGTACAAAGGCCCAGTTTAAGTCTTGCTGATGGTGAGGCAGTTCTGTGGCACAAGTGAGACCTCCTTGTAGCCTCGCCAGTCTTCTGTTATGACCTGACCGCGAATCAGAGCATTTCCCCAAATGTGCATTTCTCTCCCAGCTACTTTTGTCAGAGTGGGGAAGGCATTATGATAATCCACTTGGAGATGTGTGTCTGTGAGTCTTTAACAGATGTAGGAATGGTCATTTTGCCCATTCTTTTTCCTTGCCATCACACCCTCCTCCTTTCCTTCTCTCCATGCTTTTGTTTGTGAGGAGCTGCAGATCTCCACCGTTTGAACAATTTCACATTCTCCCTGTCAATCCCTGCTCTTCCCACCACTGCCTTCAAAGACAAAATACTTCTGTCTAATGATCCTGAGTTACACCAGCTGATAGACAAAGGTCCTCAGAGCTCATAGTGGACAGTACCTCCTGTTCATGAAAGTCTTTCTGTGTCATCTTGTGAATGGAGGGAATGTCTGGGTAGTTGGGGTGGGGGGGTGTTAAACTCAGTAATGGAACTTGTAAGATGGGGGAGGGAAAATAAATCCCATTATATCTGTGATACTTGTACACAGTCTAATTGTCAATGGTATATCATTCCATTTAAAATCCTATTTGATAGAAACAAAATCATTGTATATTGATGATAGAAGAAAGCATTCTTTATCTCATTGCATGTTCCATATTTTGGGGTATTTTATTTGAACTGGGATGAGAGTAGGGATTTGCAATGATAAAAACCTTGTTGTTTGCCAGATCACTTTAGTTTTGGAATTTTGGGGAGGTTATTTCCGAGCCAAAATTTTAGGCTAGATCCCATACCCTGGAGACCTGTTGACTTCAGTGGGCTTTTTTTAAGGAGAAGGCAGTCAGTCGTAGTGTGCTTGCTTTATTCACTGCAAAACCTTTCTGAAACTGTTAAGAAATAATGATAAGAAGTCAGTGCTGCTTTTGAGAAGTTTGTTCATTTAAGTTAAAAAGTAAAAAGTCTGAATGATTGTGCCATGTTTTGTTATGGCCCCAACCGAGCAATTAGATTCATGTAGAAGGATTGCACATCCTTTTGAATCCAGTTGCAGGACTGGGGCCTGTCCATGTATGTGGCCATAAACCATAGAGCTGACAACATTTTTTCTCTTTAGAAAGGCTAGACTGTTATTTTGCATGAATTTAAATCTTCCTAGGTTACCTAATGGGTCAAAATTGGCTTGATTCCACAATCTTCCCACCTTCTGTTAAAGCAGTGTGGCTCACAGATTTTAGACACAAATAAATATTTTCTTTGGCTCCATCAACAAAACATATCTAATGAGGCATCTGTAAGGACTGTCAAAAATGCATCTAGATTGTGTTGGCATTAATGTATTATTTTGCTGTCAGTATGCAATAAAAGATGTCATCCCAAATTCACAGCATGATTCAGAGCTATAAAACTTGATTCTGTGGTTGCCACAGATGATTTCTTAGCAAAGAAACGGACTGGTGGATTTCGTTGCAGGTAGCTGCAATTCCACTTTCATCCAAGTTCATCCAGTTGAATTTGCCTTTTGTTAAAGATGTTAGAAAGCATGATGTCTCATGTCAGTAATGATAATGAAGGGGAAGATTGGCTTTAATGACGTTAGAAGAGTCATTATGTTTAATTTATTGCTAATTAATGCTGCCAGCTCTCATATGCTTTGTCTAGCTGTCATGTGCTTGTTATATGCCTTTTTTTTAATGTGTGTACACATCCCTCCCCATTCATTCATTTTTATTCTGACGATTTACACAGCTTTCTCTCCTCTAGGTTTCCTCCACACATGGTCCCGCCACACCATAGTTTACACACAACTGGAATCCCTCATCCGGCCATAGTCACACCAACAGTCAAACAGGAATCTTCCCAGAGCGACGTCGGCTCACTCCACAGCTCGTAAGTTGTTGCTTCTTATGGCTTCTTTTTAGAACACCCAAAGCATCGCTTGTGCATGTATAGCTTTTAGAAAAGCTTGGATTTATGGGAATGTTTTTGCTCTAAAATAATTTTAAGTTGATTTTTTCTCCTCTGTTCTGATTGATTTGAATGTGGTTTAACTGCCAAAATGTGTCAAAATAATGGTTAACAGCCTGTCAGTGACGTAGACAGTAGTTACTCATTTCACCCATTCAGATGAGGAAATGGAGTTTTCTTGATCAAGATTTAAGCTTCTTGACCGGTTTCCCTGTTACTCATTGCCTGGTTTGAAGCTTTGAGATACCAGATACACAACAGGAGACAATAGAGCATAAATGGCTTGTTCAAAGCCGCAGAGAGCACCGGTATCAAGTTGAGGTTTGAACTGAGGAAAGTTCTGGTCTACCTCTGCCTCTAGTGCTCCTGGTGCTTGTTGCCTTCTGTTTCATGGAGGAAGCAGAAAGCATTTGGGCTCCCATTGATGATGGAATGTAATTATTTCCTCGGCCATCATACTCAATCACCAGCCCTCCCCATGAATCCATTTTCCTGAGTGCCCATGTCCTTCCAAGGTTCTTGTAGGGGCTGAAAGGTTTTTTATTGATACTGCCTAAACATAAGATGGGCTTTCTTATAATTCTCTTAAAACTGTTCTCATCCAGCAGCCAGGGTGAAGGCTCCAGAGATACTTCTAGTCCTTCTCCTAGGACTTCTGTGGATTAATGGTAGAGATATTGAGGGGATTAATTCTATAAATTCACAAGGTTTCTCACTGTAAGGTTTCTGTCTGTTGTATCTTTACCCTTCAGAAAACATCAGGACTCCAAAAAAGAAGAAGAGAAAAAGAAGCCACACATAAAGAAACCTCTTAATGCATTTATGTTGTATATGAAGGAAATGAGAGCAAAAGTTGTAGCAGAATGCACATTGAAAGAGAGCGCAGCCATCAACCAAATCCTTGGTCGAAGGGTAGGTAACGAGGGAGAAGTACAAGCAGGGTTCAAAACTCAGTAGGATTCACACCTGAATCCCTGCGATTTCCTGATATTTCAATAACGGATAGGGAAGTTACTAAAGACGTTGGTTTGGGGTGTTTTTGCAGACACTTAATGCTAGTGGGCATCATTCATGGGCAAGAGAGGGAGTTAATAGCAGTGATTTTTCAATATTATTTCCATGACCTGTAGATGGAAAAATCTCAGGTTTTTATTTTGTCCTAAAACAGAACATTAAATGGGGAAGGAAAAAGCCTTTGGGTACAGTACCAGTGTCAGCACCTGTGAGGGGCAGAAGAGAAGAGGGGCTGCCGGTGGGAAAAGGATGGGGAGACCTCCTTTAAATCTGTAGGTGAGCTCTGGCTCAGGACAAATGGTTCAGCTTCTGGAGCCTCTCCCCTGCTCTTTTTGTTTGGTTTTCTTAATTCATGTAGGTCATCAGGAGACAAAGGGGCTGAGTGAGTAAAAGATTAGTTGTGACTTAGTTACCTGGATTTATAATCTGGAGTTAGAAATAGAAGATGAATGTCAGCATGTCAGATCATCAGGTTTCGTGTCTTCTTTTTCATGGAAATCAACTCTAGCTGAATTTATATAAAAATGATGTATTCTGCTGTTAACACACTTAAAAAAAAAAAAACAAACACTTGTGCTTTTTATTTTGTCTTCTCTTTTCTTCACCTCAGTGGCACGCGTTATCCAGAGAAGAGCAAGCGAAATACTATGAACTAGCAAGAAAGGAACGACAGCTTCATATGCAGCTGTACCCGGGCTGGTCCGCACGGGATAACTATGTAGGTTCCTATGTAGGTGGAAATTGTTTTAGTAGTAGAGCTTGTAGAAATGTAGGTGTGACCTGCTGAATTACGACCACACATTGCACACAAGCGCTACTTGGAAAGCGTGCCTTGGGATCCCAATCTGGTAACAACAACGAATGCTTCCCTCTGTGATGCTAAAAGTGGTGGGGATAATTCCCAGCCCTCTGCTTGGAAAAAGCTTCCTGGTTGGGACTAGTAAAAGGTTAGAATTGGGGCATGACAGTAGAGCTCTGTGAAGAAACGCTTGCCTTCACTTTTACCAGCACCTGGAAATGCTGTTTGACTTGCTGGTCTTTTTAAATTTCATGTTTTGGTGAATCAGAATTCCCCTAGTATGGCTCCTCTCCTTTCCTCCAAAAAAAGATGAATAATTAGTGTCTTGCGCTTATCTGTGTGAGAGTATAGTGGAAAGTGGAAGAATGACTTATCCTAGCTTCAGAGAAGGACTGGCTAAACCAAAAGCGTGACTCGTTTGAAAGTCTTACTCTCAAGTGGGGTTAAATGAATTATTCCATGCTCTACTGTTGTATATTTTGGTTTTGTTCTGCTTTTTCATGGCCATGTTATCTTCCTCCCCCGCCTGCATTTTTGAAGAAATGTTTTGGAGTTTGTGATCAGTTTGTGGAGTGGGTTTAAGATTGATTGCCCACACTCCTCCTTTCAGAAAGCCTCTTTTGTAGCTAAAAGTGGTAGAATTTTCTGCTTCTTAAAACATAAGGCCAGTGTTGTAACCACTTACTGGTAGTGTATAACCCCGTCTTCCATGAAGAGTAAGTTGTCCAGCTGTAGTGTTTGCAAGCCTAAACCAGTAAATTCTTGACAGAATTGGGAGCTCTGAACCCTCTTTAACAGGATTCTATCAGCATCTTTATAATTTTCTTAAATAAGAATTACCCAAAACTATCAAGATCTTTAATTCTGGAATGCACTCTGCTCCCTGCCTTGCGAGCAGACTTCCTTGAAGGTTTGGGGCCCAGCAGCTCTAAGATTGATGTCAGTTACACATACTGTTTTTGTTGAAATCTGCCTTTTCCATCATCGTCAGCATCACTATTTATTTTACTGTAAATATCCCATTTTGTCATGTATCACAAAAGTGTTGTATATAGCAACATTTACTGTGATGTGAATCTGGGCTTTTGCATGTATGGATAGGAAGAATCCAGTTCAGAGTGTGCAGCAAAGCCTAGAGCAGCAGCAGCACTGTGCTGTTACAGGAGTGGAGAATACACTTGCTCACTCATTTAGTGATATGTACTTACAGACATATTTTCAAACCTTGTGCCCTTTCTTGATCATCTTTTCTTTCCATTGGGCTCTGCCTGCCTCCTTTGTTCGCCTTTGCAGGTTTAGCTCCTTAGGGAAGGCCTCGTTAAGCCCAATGAGGCACTGCTCCTGCTTAAACACATCTTCCCTTTCTTTTTAACATAGCCTGTCCTGAGACTTAGACCACAGGCTTGAGGTAGTTCCTTGACACTGAGTAGTATCATCTTCTTGGGTGTTCAAAAGGGAGTATAGGCTCAACTGAGTTTTCAGGAATGCTCATTCTGCGCAGTGACTCTGCCACTGACAGATGGGCATGTACAAAGCCTTCAGTGTTTAGGACCTTTTACTTTTGTCCTCACCGTGTGAGCACTGAGAAACGCTTTCTTCTCAAGCTAAAAAGGACAAGATGAGAAAGCTGGCGCTTTCCCAGCGGCTTGATGCTGTACCCCCAAGTGACCTTCAGGGGGAACCTTACTGCCTGAGGAGAGCAGGCTACCTTTGCATCACACGGTTGCATCATCCACAGGATTTATTTATGTCTCTTCTCCTGGTCCATCCAGAGCTCTCAGAGCTCCCCTCAGCATTTTGTAGGGTCTTGAGCCCTTCACACATCTAGCAGGGGAGCAACTCTGGACTGCTTGAAGTGGTTAAATTGTTAGGCACATCACATCAGGCTCGAGGATGAGGCCAGCTGTAGCCCAGGTCTTCAGAAACAGGAGCAGTGCATTCCAGAAACACAGCTTTCAGGCTGCTCTTAAATCAGAGAAGAGGATTCAGGGAATCTCTGATGGCTTGGCTGGTGTCACATTTGCTCTTCCTGAGGTCTGATATAAGACGTTAAGTTCTGGACTCAGAGTATGTCAGGGTCTAGTCACCTTCCCTGTCACTTGTCCAGAAAGTCAGTACCAAAGAACTGGGCAATCCTGTCAAAACCCATGTTGGTTTGGCTCTTTAGAGGGAGCTGCCAAACAGTTATCCACTATTTACATCCACACTTATTTGCAGCCTAAGAATTTGTGTAGTACCGTGACAGAAAGTGTTACAGACCATGTGCTCTAGTGTGAGAAGGACAATCTGAGCTGTCTTCTGCAGAGCACTTGAAAAACTGCTGCCATAGTTCTCATAGTCTGTGTATTAATCTAGATATATAAACAAATATGTCCTTGTAGTACAGAAATTGAACAAGTAAGCCAGGTGGTTAGGTGATTCTTCTCTGTCTTTCCTTTGCAAAGGGTGTACAAGAGATTAGTGGGACCTCTGTCAATTCTTTGTTAGGAACATTTTCCAGAGCTTGTGTTGAAAAGGAACCAGAAATTTCTGGTCCCTGGCTGACTGACATTCCTGTATATCAGCCATTTTTAACAGATTGCTCCCTAAAGGGGTTATAGCACTTTAATACCTGGCTTGAAGAGTTTGTAAAGGGCAGGTGACTCCTGACCTCTCTGCTGGCTGACCCTTGTGTGAAGAAGTTCTGAGGTCTCAAACTGAAATAGTCCTTTAATTCCCAAATGTACTGCAAAGATTAAGCAAAGATTTGCCACAGATGCAGTCTGTTCATTATACAAGTTGCCTCCTTGAGAGTAAATAAAAATCAGGTTTGTGGTCCTGAGGCAATTGTCTGGTTTTGGTTACGTTGTTGTAAAGCTGGAAAAAAATCCCTGACTTTCAGAGTTACTGTCAATCTAAATCAGTATAGATGGAGCAGTGTCTGAGCCTCTTGTATCTTTGTTATAAGTGGACTTAAGGGTAGCATGGTTTCTGTTTTATTCTTGGGGGGTTCTAGGAGTAATGCTTGTCTGGCTTGTCTGCCTGTCACGTTAGACTGACAGCTGCTGTAGCAATTGGCTCAGGGTGACAACTTTCTGTAACAGCAAAAATTACCTCAGAGGAGTTGAAAATGATTTCTCAGCAGCATCCAGGCTACAGGATTAAGCTTTTTCCATCACCAGAAGGCTGTTGCGAGCAAGACTATACTTGTTGCAGCCCGGACAGCCGGGTGGCAGTTTACAAACCCGAGCAACCAAGGGGGAAACGAGTACAGAAGCCCCATGCCAGAAAGCTGGCTTTTGGGGAGGAAAAATACAACAACAACAAATCTAAATCCAACATTCACATTGGATGTGCCAAGCTGAAGCCCATCTTAACCATTTAGCTGGAAGCCAGACCAACCTACTGAGAAAAAATGTTCTCCAAGTGGGAGAGCCTCTTGGCTTCCCCACAGATAGGTCCAACCCTTCAAAAGCGACGTGAGATTCCTTCTTCTAAGACCTGTTTTTCCCCTCTTCACCACCAGGGACTGCTGGTCTGGTGTCCTTTCATCAACATCTCTTCCTACTGCATCTTCAAAAGCCAGGATCTCTTGTGCTGCTCACAGTTGACATTGCTGGCCCAAAAGTCATTGCTTTTAGCGTCTGTGGAGCTGTGAAAATGAACTTACTCTGTCCCCTGCGCTGGCCTTTTTGTACTGCTCTGCTAACCCTGTAGCTCAGTTTCCTTAGAAAATAGCTTTTCCCTTTTTAGCTATGCTTGATACTTTATAACTCTTCTCTTGGAAAACAGTGGTTGGTTTCCAGTGAAGTCAGGCTCCTGCTCCTGGTTGTCCTCTCCCACACTGCTAGAGGGAAAAGGAGGAAAGGCCTTTCTGCCTCCGGTCAGAGACCCTGAATAACAGCATCATTTTGTGGGGGGGCAGTATTTGGGAAAGGGACACAGTTTATCAAAATACTACTAGTTATTTTCTTTGTTATAGAGGAAAATATGGGAAGGGTCTTAGTTATTTCTGGATTTTTTTCTTGTCCTGGCTTTGCTTCCTATGTTGTCAGTGCACTTAAAAACCTGCAGGTTAGGATTTGCTCATTCCTGTGGCTTCCTCCTCCACTTTAACAGTTGGGTTTGGGTGCTGAGGAGCTCCAGGGACGCAGTCTGACCTCACTCATGCACTCTTCCCACTTCAGTCTCCCTCTTTTCCCCCTCCGTGCCCTGTTACAACGTGACCATGAATGATTTTAGAAACTTCAGAGCCAGGAGCATACAAGTATCAAATGCTTTTCTCTTTGTGAAGATCCTATCTCAAAAGCAGCATCTTGCAAGTTGTTTTACCCCCTGTTGCTTAGGGCTTTGGTGGTTTTTAGGGTTGGGGGGGCTGAAGCAAGGATGTTTGAAAAGTCAAAGGGTGGGCAAGTAGAGTGATCTCCAGGGCACAGCATCCCCTTAGGGTCTCCCAAGCCTCCCTGCACTGAGAGCGAACCAGCGCTGCGCTTCAGTGTCCTCCCCATGGAGCTTCACTCACCAGTCGCAGCCCCATCACTTGGTGCTGTCTTGCAATCATGTGTTTTGGGGGTATTTTAATCCTTCTCGTTTGTGTGTGTTTCCTGCAGGGAAAGAAGAAGAAGAGGAAAAGGGATAAGCAGCCAGGAGAGACCAATGGTAAGTAAAAATAAGTCTTAAATCTCTTGCTTAGTGGAAGTGTGGTAATCCTGGTGTGATGCTCCTAGGTACGGGGGAGGTGGGTACAAGTCTCCTGGCCTCACGGGGAGCTGGTCCCTATACTAGACAGCCTTTTTTTTTTAATGCACTCTTAATTATTTACATGTTATTGCCCTTCTAAAACTAGTAACCAAAGCCACTGCATGTAAGAGCCTCTTGTGACGTTAGCTGAATTCGTACCTAGTAATTGCAAAGCCTGTAACTGCAGAGCCGTAGTTGTAATGCCTATGCCACCGTTGATAAAGTTGTCCGCTTCTTTTGCACATGTGTGTGCGTGTACGTATGTATGTGTTTGATATTAATTTGGGCTGTACCTGTATGTCCTGATGCATGCCTTACAGTGGTAAATCGCACCCATTTTAAATTAAGGAGGTTTGCCGTTCTCTATAGGAAATTAGAAATACTGCATAGGCAATCTCATAGTCAATTTTGAAGAAGCCCTGACTTAGTTTTTTTGAAGCCTTTGTATAATTTGTTCTTTTTTTTCAGAACACAGCGAATGTTTCCTAAATCCTTGCCTTTCACTTCCTCCGATTACAGGTGCTAACGTCATTTTGAGTCATTTAAAATAGTTTATAAACTGCTCTTTTAATTTTTTTCCTGCCATTATAGATCTTAACATTAAACACGTATGACATTAAGAGAAAGTACCATCCACACGTTTCGATAGTATTTATTATCTATATATCTTGGTATCTATTATATGTTTGATAGTATTTTTTAATTTTGTTTATTTTTTTTTGTTTTGTAACAATTGCTATTAAAACAGTAATACAGTAAAAATAACGCAAGAGTTGTACTAACTGTGCAAATTGAATATGCAGTATTTCTTTAAAGAGACTGATAAAGAATGGAAGCAAGTCAGTAATGAACCTCCTTAATCTAATGGCATTTTTCATGGCTCCCACTAAGTCTTCTCACATTAGCATGCATATGCATTTTTTTATTATTATTTTAGTTTTGGATTACTTTTTTTTGTTTTCTTTATTTTATTTCCCTTTCTGCTCAAGCCTTTTCATTGCAATTCACCAGCTGTACTAACTCAGCACCTTGCCATGCTTCACGTTTTATTTTCTGGCTGATACTAACCCGCTCATTCCGCAATCTGCTTATTCTTATCCATTCTTTTCAACACAAATTAATCAAAACAAATAAATTGAATGTTATTCCAAAAGCTGCATTATCCCAGGAGATATAATTTCCTTTTTTTTTCTTTTTTCTTTTTTTTTTTCTTTTTTTTTCTCTTATTTTGTATCTGAGTTGAAGAAAAAAGCATGTTCAGGATCTAACTTCCATACTCAGCTTCTTTTCTTCCTTTTTCCCCCTCTCAAAAAAAAAAAAGTGAATAAAAAAATCCCCAACCCAAAGAAATCTTGCCTGAAATATCCTGCTAGACCAGCCACAATGACTTTCCTCTAGCTGCTCTTTTAAAAGGGAAGGAAACAGTCCTTTATAAAGGGATACTGCAGCTTTAATTGCAACAGCTAATCTCAAGAGTTGAATAAAAATGTGATTATCACTTTTTTTTAACTTTTAAATCAAGTCAATATTTTGCAATTAATAACGAGGACATTGATTTTTATTCCCTTTTTTATTTTTATTTTTCCTTATTTTTATCTTTCTCTTTTTTCTCCCCTTTTCTCTCCTCCTCTCTCTCTCTCCCCCCCTCTCCCCTTTTCTTTTTTTTCCTCTCTTTCCTTCTCTGCTCGCTTTTCTTGAACTCATTCAGACCTGAGCGCTCCTAAGAAATGCCGAGCGCGCTTTGGCCTTGATCAACAGAATAACTGGTGCGGCCCCTGCAGGTGTGTATAGTTTTCCCAGACTCGCTATGGCTGATTTGCAGCTGGTTTATTTGGTACTTTCCCCTTTTTTTTCCTGCCTTGTTGCTTTGTAGCTCTGTGTTGTGATCTAGAAGACACAAGGGAGTGGGACACTGCCATGAGTTATCGTCTCTGAAAGGGTTTTGCTTCTTTTTTTGTCGTTGTTGGTTGTTTTATTTGCCTTCCTCTTTGCTGCTGCTAGCCAAAAACCCACTGTAAAACAGCATCAGCCTTAAGCCCATATGCTCTTCAAGCCTCCACCCGAGGACAGTCGCTCCCAAAGCCCTTAATCACACAGCATTGAGTGCAGTGCCGGCACCGGACTGTGTCGGAGATCTCTGTTTTTGTTTTCTTTTGGCTCATTGTGAAAGTCCTGTTTTCTTTCCTGCCCTTGGTATGAGGGGAGATTACCAAATAAAACTGAGGTGATTGCAAGCTAAACGTAGCTGTAGCTAAGATGACGCAGACCAAATGAGCTCTATCCACCATTGTGTTGTATTTTTTGTGTTTACCTTATGCTAACAGATGCAAATACTCCAAAGAAGTGTCGGGCATTGTTCGGGCTTGACCGACAGAGTTTATGGTGCAAACCATGCAGGTATAATACTACCCACTAGGCCTTTGGGGAAATAAAAGCAATCTGTCCTCTTAGTGCATTTGTGTGATCTTATTTTTTTAATCTTTTTTCCCCACTCCCCACCTTTCTCTTTCCCACAGCATCAATTGCTAATAATCTTTGATCTTTGGAATTCCTTGCTAATTTAATGCCATTTTCTCTCTTTTCTTTACCAATAACCTCTCCCTGGTGGTAGAACTGGGAACAAGAAAACTTGAAGTCCTTAAAGCTGGCAGGTTTTTTTGGCTTTTTAATTACATTTTTTTTTTTCCAGATTGTCAGCAAAATGAATGTTTAGCTGGACATCTGTGTTTTGTCTTTCATTTGGGTCTATGTCTGCTGCCTCCAAAGGCTTTTTAATAAGGTTCTGGGATCTGCAGCACTAGTATTTTTCTCATGATTAGAGATGTAAAAGCCAGTGTTTACAGCTTATATTATACTAATCTTTTTGGGTTTGTTAAATGCAAAATTCAATAGCTACCTGTAGGCTTCTGTGCCTCAATAAGATTTATGTAGATACCATTTTTTAAAATGATCTGATGTCCTTTTTTTTTCCAATTCCAAAAATCCATTTTTTCCTAAATTTTATCCCAACAAGTGAGCTGTAAACGCCTGAGCTCTAGACAAAACTAATTGCAACTTTAGTAGGACAGTTTCCAGCATTAAAAGGAGATGAAAGACATCAGAGAGCCCAAATTCCAACAGCCCATGTTCTACTGGAGTTTAATTCCATGTATAATTCAGTATGTACTTCTTTCTTGGTGGAGGGATACCGAGTAGTTCTTTTCTCATTCCTTTTTCCTTATATGATCGCATTTGGTTAAATTTGTTGTTTCTTTGTTCTGATACAAGCAGTCTTTGAATTTGGAATATTATGATGGTAGGTATTTCAACCCAAACCACACTCTGTATGTAGTGATTCCTCTCCCACATTTTCCCCTCTTACTCATGCCAGTCCCGTGTGCTCCATCTCATTTAGAATGTAGATCAGACGTCCATCGTATTTTGTGTATGCACGCAGTCTTGTTTGTGCTTAGTGTCGAGCAGAACACGGATCAGGGGTGGTGTTTGTGTGTCAAAATGCAGATAAGGCACCAGACATGTCTTCAACAGATTGTATATTGTCCCATTAGAGACATGCTAGTACTGGGTGTTGGTGTCGTAGGCATCAGTACCAGGATGTATGTTAAAAAGTTTTGAAAACAGCAGTTTCTTAAAGCTTAAAGCAAGAAGGGTTTCAGTTCAGAAGAGCTGGGTAGCCACTTCCCTGTATCAGGAGGCTCAAGTCTCATGATAGCCAACGTTTCACATCTTGTGTTTAGTTGGGCTTTATTCTGTGGTTAGTTCACTACACACTATCAGCAGATATTTGTGTAGTCTAGAGATAGAGCATTTGAAGCATGTCAGGCTCTGTATGCCAAGTACAGAACCGGGGTCACATCATGTTTGTGTTGCTTTATCTTTCCCTAGCTGCTTAAGTAAACAGCATACTTTTAAAACTACATTTTATCAGCAAGGGGACTTTTCTTCAGTCTGTATAATGCTTAGGTTACGTGTGAAGCATAAGCCCTCTCTTAACTTTCACCAGATTTGGTCAGAAATCTTTGCAGCGCATCGGAGATTACTTCAGTGTTGCAGCTGATAGCTTTATGCTTACTGATATAGTCAGCTGCTTTTCTTTTTGTTTTGTTCTTAAATGCATGTAGACATTTTATCACTAGGTATTAAGAGCATTTCTCTCCTAGTTCTGGTCCTAACCATTATAACTTTGCATTTGCTAGCATGGTAGCATTTAGTAGCCCATCTTAGGTAGGTGCTAAAGATGTACAGTGTGCTGACACAGTAGAAACTGTGACATCTTTGCTCACAGCAACTAGATACACCATTGTCATCCTCTGTGGCTTTCACTCATGGCAATTGCAGTGTTACAGGTTTCCTGATGCTCTCCTGGAGCTAGTTTCAAGGGCAGCATCAGTGGGGTCGGGTCTGTTGCTGTTTGCTGGGCTGAGGTAGCAGTTGATGCTTTCAGAGCAATGCACAAGTGAATAATCCTTACTAGTGCTTGAGGAGGATATGCAGGTTTTTTTATTCCCACTTTTAGGAGAGCAAAACCGAGGCACAGGTAGCTCCTGGGGTGCTTACTTATTCCCCTTTGCCAGAGCTACATGGTGTTGTTCACTTCTGGTAAAATTTGGCTTTCAGGGTCTGGGATTTTACCTCTGCCTTCTGTCCCACCTAACCCTTGCACGCACATTACCACAGGTAACACACGGTGGGAATGGCACAGGCTGGAGAAATGTCCCCCTCCTTGAGCCATCCTGATTTAAGCAATGGCTTTCCAGATTAAAAGTGGCCACACTACTAAAGAGTTTAATATTCCGCAGAAGCAGAGGAAGCAATTTGCTTGCTTAATCTCAGTCAAAGGAAAACTACTTCAGGTAGCAGACCAGCGGGTTTAGTTTTAGAAAGGTTGTTTTAGCTCTACAGTCGGAAAGTCAGGTAGATGAGGTTTAAGCCTGCTTTGCCATGGGAACTCTTCCTTTCAGGCCACAGAATTTTAAATAGTATTAAAAAGAAATACCTATTTTGAATTTTTGGCAAACTGGATTCAAACTGCCTCCAGTGAAGAAATTATAACTGCCTTGTAGGTAGAGAGCAATCCAGTTGCATGGCTTCTGGACCACCATCAATGCTGCAGGCAGAGAGTGGGTCTCTGCTTGCAGATTATTTTAATGTTGGTTTGGGGTGGGAGCCCTGCAGTGAAAACCCACCTTTCCACACAGGTATTATGGGTGAGCTTTGTGAAGCATCACTGCTCTGCTTTGCCACTAGAGCTGTGCAGACATGACCTGTGGCCCTGGTAGCTTTGCACAGCTGAATCTAGGAAGTGGGGAAAAAGAGCAGCAGAACTGTCCTTAAGCCAAGAGCCAGAGGCTTCCCATTATTTGTTAATGGTAGAAGAATTAACAGGTTCTGTTTTGAGCCCACCAAATTAATTTTTTCTGTCTTTTAACGTTGCTCTACTAAAGCATGGTTTACAGCCTTTACTTGCTGTCTTCTATCTTTCTTCCTTTCTTTCATCTTAACATTTAAGTTGCATGGTTGTCTTTTAGTTTTTGGCATGTATTGATCTGCAGGCTAACGTGGTTAAAACTCTAATAGCCCTAACCCCTTACCTTGCCATCTGGAACGTGGAGCAGAGCCTGAGTCTCTGGAGAAAGGGATGTCACAGCACTGGTCCCTCACTGAAGGTGGTAGAAGGATGGGGTGCCGGGGTTGCTGTTCCCTTCCTGGCTATGGGAGATGATCTCTTTTAACTCCAGGATCAAGCTGGTTAGATCTCCCTTGCAGTCAAGAAGCATCTATCCCTATTGCCTAGGCAACAGAACTTGGTTTAACCCAAGTCAAATGAAGTTACCCTGCATGGGGGAGAACGTTAACAACCAGCAGTGGAGCTGGGGCACCTATGTGAGCAGGGAATGTCACCCGGCGACATTCAGCTGTTGTGCTATGCTTGGGCGCTTCCTTGGATGAAGCTGCTGAGCCTAGGGCAAGGTATCCACTGGAGGGGAAGAGCAACCTACTCCTTCACATTGGTGGCTTTGTGCAGCTTACCTGAGCATCCAAAGGTTTTGTGGCAGAGCTGCTGTAGACAGACTTTGTGATACACACTGGGCTGTGTGACAGCGGTTCAGCACTTCCCTTGGGAGGTGTGCTTGTGAATAGGAGGGCTGGAGAGCCATCATTATTAGGGTCAAGGTAGCCACTGAACATCGTTCTGCCAGATGCTGTGGTTGTTTGCCTCATTATTTCTGTCCTGCTGCTAGAATTGTCTTGCATATACTTGGCAAGAGAGATGGTGTGAAACTGTCATCTGTTTTCATTGCTCCTTTACATTATTAAGTGGACAGAGGGAGGAGAAAAGATCTCTGTCGGGTCACTTACTGATTTGAAGATGAGCGGCTCTTGTGAGACTCTCATATTCCCTGGTGTGAAATAAGCTCCATGTTGCTCCTCACCTTTGTACCTGTTGTTGTGCTCTTTACCTACTGAAACTGGGTCCCACTCTGGAGTTACATGGATGGCCTCTCAGAGGAAAATCCCCAAAATGCAGACGAGCAGCTTCCCAAATCTACCACTCTCCCTTAAAACAAAAAGTAAAACTGAGTCGATTTAAAGCCACAACCTGCAGGCCATACAACCAGTTATTCTTGTTATTTTGGATCATACTCTGTTTATCCTGTCCTTTTCCTGGATATTTTTCCTTCTGTTTGCTTTGTTTGTTCGTTTTGTTTTTATTTCCCCTCTCTCTTGTTCTCCCTATTATATATCCCTCCTGTCTGACTCTGACATTTTGGATTTGGTGTGGTTCTTAACAGAAAACAGTGAGCAGTAGTTTGCAGCCGTCCTTGCCTCCCAAGGGCAGCGCATCGTAGGAGACAACAGATGACCTAGGTGTAGAGATAGCCCCGTTGAGTTGGACAGCGTTATGGGACACCTTGAGATACCATCAACTATCCAGAGCTTTGATTTTATAAGGATTAAATTACTGTCTTTTTTTCCTGGAGGACAGTCCAGTTTGTAGATTAGCACAGTGGGCTCCAAAACCATTTTACCTGCTTTTCTGATGATTAAAATAACTGAGGAGATGAGGCGGCCTGAAGAGGAGGGGAACGAAGAGACAATTGGTGAATCCTTTCCAAATCTGTTAGCCGAGGGGGGGTTTCCGAGTGGGCTCAGTGCTGAGGACACCCCACCAGACCCCCAGGACGGCGCGTGGGGCCAGGGTGCCGCCTGCGCAGAGCCCAGAGTAGCTAATGGATGGCTCTTTGTAGATTACTGTCTCCATCAGCGTCTCTGCCCTTTATTCACAGAGAACTCTCTCCCTGTTTCTAGGAGAAAAAAAAAGTGCGTTCGCTACATACAAGGTGAAGGCAGCTGCGTCAGCCCACCCTCTTCAGATGGAAGCTTACTAGACTCTCCTCCGTCCTCCCCTGCCATGCTCGCCTCCCCCTCCAGAGACTCGAAACCACAGACTGAACAAACGCAACCCCTCTCGCTCTCATTGAAGCCCGACCCGCTGGCGCACTTGGTCATGATGCCGCCGCCATCCTCGCTCGTCCTCACCGAGAGCGCTGCGAGCAAGCCCGGCGCCCTGCCTGCTGCCAGCTGCCCCAACGGGGCCCTGGACCACCCGCCGGCCGCCCTCCCGCCGGCCGCCGCCGCATCCCTAGCACAGCCCTCAACGTCCTCCTTGCATTCCCACAGCTCGCTGGCAGGGACACAGCCCCAGCCGCTCTCCCTCGTAACCAAGTCCTTAGAATAGCTTTAGCCTCGTTAGCCCTTTTGATTTCCTTTTTTTTTTTTTTTTTGGGGGGGGGGGGGGGGTTGAATTCTGTTGGGATTCGGGATTTTTTTTTTTCCTTTATTCTGTTTTTTTTTTCTCCTCCTTCTCCTCGTCGTCGTCCGCTGTTCGTCGTCGTCTCTTGGTTTCGTTTTTAATTCGTGCCATGTGGCTACATTAGTTGATGTTTTATCGAGTTCATTGGTCAATATTTGACCCATTCTTATTTCGATTTCTCCTTTTTAAATATGTAGATGAGAAAAGCCTCATGATTCTGCCAAAATTTTTATCAACAGCTGTTTAAAGTCTTTGTAGCGTTTAAAAAAAATATATATATACATAATTGTTATGTAGTTCCAATAGCTTAGTTTTAAAGACTGATTTTAAAAATGACAAAAAGAGAAAAAAAAAAAAAAGAAAAAGAAGCAATTTTGAAGCAGCCCTTGCCGGAGGCATTGGTTCTTTATTATTTGTATTAAATACGAGCTTGCGAACCAATCATTTTACATCTGGTTTTTAAACCTTTAAGGGCACAATGAATGCGGTGCCGCTACTACTTCTTTTTTTTTTTTTTTCATTGTTCTCCTTCCTCGTGTGAAACAAACCTTTATTGTGATGTTACTTGTTCTTGTTTAAATGTACAGAAACAAAGGGTTAAAGAAAAAAAAAACGTGTTAATATACCTTGTTCCATGGTGTTGTTCTTTTTGGGGGAGGGAACGCTACTCAACACTTAAAAGTATCACAACGCTATTGGACCAGTAGTATTTATTGCTTTAGAAATTGCTTGTTGTATCTGTATGTTGTCCCTTTTTAAATGGGTTTGGTTTTTTTTTTCCTCTTTGATTTTTCTTGAAACATTGTATAAAGGTTTTTTGTTCCATTTTGTTTTTGCCCTTAGTGTAAGCATCTTATATATAACAACTCATTTGTACAAGGTTTTTAAGTTTATATATAAATGTGTATATATATATTTTTTCCGGGATTTTTGGGTTTTGGTTTTTTTTTTTTAATTCCTTTTTGGGGGATTTTTTTTTTTTCTCTATGAAACACAATTGCCACCAAATGGACATTTCGCAGACGCGTTTCGTTCAAGGATCAATAGTCTAAAAGAAAATCAATAAAGAATTGCTTTAAAAGCCATCGACACACACACAAAAAAGACTTGAAGATTTAGCAAGGGAATCTTTAGCAACCGCTGTTTGAGAAATAGCAAGGTCCAAGTGTCTCCTGTTCAGAACTGCAGCTGAATCCCCTGCGACATTAGGACTGTAGGCTGTGTGCAAAATTCTTCTGTGCCAAAATTCTCAGTGACTTTCAACTTTTCTCCCGAACAACCTTTTATTATTAATTTCCTTTTTATTTTTCTTTTTTTTTTAATGCTGTAATTTTTTTGTTCATCCTGTTTTGCTGTGATGTTACATAGGTAGATATGTATGTAGTTTTAATGTCACCTATAACAGACGTGTTTGGTAGCAGATTGTCCGGAAAGCATTTAAAATGAAGAGGTATAAACCCTTAAGGGCCAAAATTCTGTATATTAGATTATTCATAAAAGGAAAATCAGACTGCCACTTTTATGTACACTTACTACATACAGGTAGGTAGCAAACTTAAAACAAAAAAAAAAAATCCTAGGCATGTTGATGTTGCAAAAAAACGCTGTATAAAGCTGAAAAATTGTTCATCTGTTCATTCAGTGCCATTGTAGTTGACATGAAGCGATTGTAAAACTGTCTCAGATTTTTCTCTGGTTTATTAAGATGCTAACTATAACATTTTTTGTGAATACTTTGAATGTTTCCTAACAGTTGTGATGTTACTGTTCCGTTTTATGCTCTTATTCCGATTTTCATTTTTAATGGTTTGGAAGCCATTTTTTGTAATGAATAAATGTTCATGCTGTACAGTATCTGTAGCATGCAGTTCTGGATTAATAAAAGCAACTTAGTATGTGCAGAGAATGGCTTGTCAACTCATTTATGCGTTGACTGCTCTTTACTCTGACCGATAAGATTTACAGCCCAAACAGAAAACTTCCTTGAAAAGCAATGGTGAAGATCATGGCAAATTGCAGCCAGCTGTCGTTGTGAGAAATCCTGTTTCCTTCGGGTTCCCATGCTGCCAGCCTTCTGAATTCGTTTTGCACCAGCCCTCTCCCTGCTCAGCAAGCTTTTGCGTGAGTAGCAGTGGTTGAAAACCCGTTTTATTGAAAGCAAATGGCACGTGATTTGGCAACAGACAAGTAGCACATGAGCTAAAGCAATGTCGTCCCTCTGTGTGAAGTGATCCTGACGGGGGGATGGAGACCAGGGGTGATGACACCTTTGATTTTAGAACGTTTTTGTTCAACCCGGTGATCCCACAGCACAGGGCTGATACTTTATAGAGGTCGCACAGGAGAGCTTAGGTAGTCCTGATTAGTCAGAGTCTTCATGCTGGCCTTTGGGTGTATCTTCTGTATAGATCTGAGTCCACTTATGCATATACTGATTTATGTATTTTTAATGCAATGAGCCCTTGCACAGCACAGCCTGCTCTTGACGCTGAGCATCCGGAATCCACCCAATGCCTGTGGATGCTGCAGGATGAGAATGAACATACACACAAGAATATTAAGTGGTTGATTTGTTTGGGTTCTTCAGGGATTTATTCTTCATTATTCCTAGGAATCTCTCACAAGTAGATGTCGCCTTAGCCCCAGTCGTCTTGGAAAATCTTGGCCATAGTAGTTTCTGCAATGGCACTTGAGGGCAATCAAATGTGCAGTTCTTGGAGCTGGCTTGTTCCCTGACATTGTGCCACTTCTCAGGTGGGTAATGCCCTTCTCTTCAGATGGTCTTGATGGACTGTGCAGGAAGGGTAAGTATGTTTCCTCATATAGGAAAACAGGTGCAGTGATTCTCTGCAGAGACCTGGGAATGGGGCCGTTTTGGGAAGCGCAGCCCCAGTGGCTGAGACTGGGGGGTGTCCCTCACTGTGGGCTCTAATAAAACCAGAGCTGGCTGCAAAGCAGTTTTCTGTTGACTGCAGAGGGAATTTGCTTTGTGGAGGTGCTGGGAGGTACTGGGTGAAGTACTCAATAATGGTTAAACAGAATATGTAGTACTTCAAATTGCTGTCATTTTGTTTAATGACTAGTTGACAAGCTGGGAGCCTCTTTTTGTTTCAAATGTTAATAAAGGATTGTATGCATATTGTTTCATATTTCCTTCTAGAAGGACTAAGTCACAATGTGAATTTTTTACTAGGCCTTGATCCAAGGCCTGATGCTGTTTTTGTTGTGGTCTGATGCAACACTCCCCTTGACTTTGGTGGAACATGTCCCCTTGTCACCCGTGACAGGCGTGTGGGCAGCATGGGTGGAACACGGAAAAGGATGTTGCTGTGAAGCCTTCGTCAAAGATGTCAAATATTGCTGTTGTTGCTGGCCAACAAATTGAAGGTGATGCTCAAATTGCTCTCCTGCTATGCAGGATTTCTGGGGAATGATTTTTTTTTTCCTAGAGCATGGCCATCCATCAGCCAGACATATGTGCTGCATCTCTGCTGGGGATAGCTGCTCTCTTCTAATGCAAAACAGCACTCCGGGGAGATCTTTGCATGCCATGATTCAAAGGAGACACCATCAAGGTATGATTCCTATGTCCAACAAAACTGTGTTTGCTCGCTGCTTTATTAGCAAGCCTTGAAAAGCAGAGTCCAAAAGTACTGCTCATGATGGATTGGTTTTCCTTCCGTGTGTGTTCAAAAGATATGTGGAGCAGAACTCATGAGCGGTGGGTAACTTGTGCTGGGAAATCTTTTGTTTGTTTGTTGTGGAAAACAACTGTATATTCTTGGGAAAGCAACTGCTTGGGTTTGCTGTAGGTTATGCATTTCCTGTGTCCTTTGCTGGGCTTATGCCTTCAGAGTTTCCTCCGAATTTCCCTTGCTTATCGGACCTGAGCTGGATCAAGGATCCTGGAAGAAAGTTCCCATTATTTATATGTTTTCCCTTTGTGCCCAGAAGTCACAACCAAGGACCTCATCGGTCTAGGTTGCAGTGGAATGCCAACTCTTCCATGTTGGTGAAAAATAGGGTGAGCAACTGGCTACAGGGGTATGGCCTGATCACCCCTTTCACCCCCAGATTCACACAAGCGAGGGGGGCCTCCAGAGCAGGGTGGTGGCAAGCTGGCACTCTCTGTCCTTGCGCCACGGGACAGCATGGGGCCCTATGTACAGCTGGTAATTCACTATAGCCATTACTTCCATCTGTTTTTATGGGATAAGGCAGGGAAGCAAGTCAATGTATTGCATATTCAGAAGACATTTATTTTCCATTAGTTTTGTAAATCTCATTTTTCACTTATTGTATGGAATTTTAAAAAGTTTAAGCAACTGCTGACTCAATAAAGCAGTGCCACATGGTTTTAAGCTTTTCTTAACAGAAAAGAAAGGAAGGGAAAGGCAGAAAAAAAGAGCAGTCATTTGAGTCCTGTTCATGTCATTAGACCATGAAAAGATGTAAAGACAATTTACAGTAAAATGGTTGCATGGACCACTGCAGCAATCGTGAAAGCAAGCAATAATCATAAAAATGAACGTGTGTGACAGTGCTGTCCCAGCTATATCTGGCATCCACATAGGAGAGCTCTACCACCTATGACTTTGAGTAGAGATTTTGGATGCTGTTTTGGGAGTGATGCTCCATCTGGAGACTAAATTCAGTACGGCACCAACACTAAGCTTCAGTAGAGCTTTAAAACAATGAATTTGCTAAGAGACTGTTGCAATTGCTATGTTATAAGACAGGTACTTTGGCATTCATTTAAAATGTGCTTGGAAAACATCTTGAGACTTTAAAGGCAGATCAGCTACAAGTGAATGCATCTCAACTTCCCATCATTATCAATAATGTCACCAGCCTGTTTTAAGGACTCTGAGGACAGGAGTCTGCCAACCCCTGGACTGATTTTCTTCAGGGATCAATACAAAATACTCACGACTTGCATCCATGTTCTAGGACTTGCTCTTCTGCATTTAATGTGGGGTGGGGATGAATTAGCCTGGACATCTACAGCAGTGGAGATCATGAAGTCATGCTGTCTGTCCATCTGTTTGACCCTCCCTTGACAATTCTTGAATCCTCTGGCATTTTGAACCAGATTTGACAGCGGCAAACTCTCTCAGAGATGATAAAGTCCCTCTGAGTTCCAGGGAAATCTCTGCCGGCACTGAGAGGCTTTCCAGATCCGCTGCTGAAGAAAAGGCAGGGAGAGCTCAGCTGTTATCCATTCTCTCTGGCAGCATCCAGATGGCCAATTATCACACATCTACTTCTGGACCAGCATCTGCGCTCTCCTGCCCAGCTGGCAGGCCAAGAAGATTAGGTAGGAGACATGGAGAGTGTTGTGGTGTTGGAGGGAACAAGGGATATGGGAGAGAGTTAAGGGTATAGGGAAAACTGGAAACACTGCAGCTGCAGTATGTAATAGTATGTAAGATTGCAGTGGGAATCGAGGGAAGGGGAAGGACGATGGGGAGATAGAGACACATCTGCAGGACACCAGGCCTTGCTAAGGGTACTGCTCTGGGTAAGTAGACACCATGGTGTTACCAGCTCCTTGTTTCAATCCTTCAACTCAGTTGCTCTTACCAGTGAGAAGCACAGCCCCATTTGGGAGGTACCTGCTGGCAAGGGCTCTGGCTGGGCAGGCTGCAATGCCCGGTGCTCAACCGGACAGGTCTACCATGTGAGAAAGGCTCGGGGTGTTTCCATGTAGCACGGTGAGGACCAGAGCTGGCTGTGCATAGCAAGAAGGGTGGGGTCTTCCAAAAAAGAAGAAAAAGAGCTGGTTATCTTATTTGCAAACAAGCCCATCTGTAGTAGCTCTGTAGTTCCCAGGCATCGGCAACGCCCGGGGTTTAATTTTCATCAGAAAATACCTCCTTTGCTCCCTCATTTTGTGTTCCCTTTTTGAATATGCTGCAGGGGTATTTTTGGATCTAATCATCTTTTTAATCTGCTCCCCCCTCATCCTTCCTCGGCCCCCGCTGCCTCCCTGCCTGCTCCTCCAAACTTATATAATGGCACATTATACAAAATAGCGAAGCAGGTGGTATTTTTAAAGACAGTGAGTGAGCATTTTTTTGGCCTAAATTTGGAATGAAACAGATGGATTTTAAGACTCTGCTTTTTCTATGAATAGTAACCGTTGTTCTCCACTGCCTTAAACACCAGTTTCAAGACCACCTCCAGCAACCAATCAGCACTCTGTTATTTAATTATAACTAAATTCTTAGCTCTGTCTGCTGCTGCATGGGCAAGTGGGGGGCACTGGATCAACTTCTGGAGCCAGGCAGCCTTGCCAACAATAATTTTCCTTTTCCCAGAGGGCTGAGGGGGCCTGGAGTGGGTTCCAAGTTCCTCCTAAACTGGCTGCTCAGTTTGGGCTCCCTGACAGAGGGCTTGAAAAGGGTTATAGAAAGGCAGATAAATGCACTTCTTGTTGCAAGCTTCCCTGACAAGCCAGGCCTCCAGAACAGTGATCTCATTCCTGCATTATTATTAGTGGTGCCAGATTTTTTCCATTAACAGGTAATTGAGTCGAAACTAAAATAAGCAAAGTTTGTTTTATCCAATGCGTTTTCTTGCTTGCTTGTGAAAGAAAAACACTTTAGAGAGGGGTTTGCTTTTAATGTTCATGGAAATGTATTTACATCTTAGAGGTTCCTCCCTGCTCTAGGGTAATTAACCTGACTGGTCTTTTTGTTATTGTTGTTTTGATTTTTAAAGCAAAGACATTGGCGAAGCTTAATTCTTTTTTTTTTAATGGTTGAGCCTTATCCTGCTCCCGTGTGTGTGTGCATTCACCTTGCGTGATTGACTTCACCCATGGCCCTAGGGGGGAAGCAGGAGCCCAACAGGAGCAATGTCGTGCACCACTTCCAGGCTCACAGTGAGCTTTGTCTTCCAGAG